GGAGAAAACAGTGCAACAATGAATGAATGAATGAAAACCCGAAATCTCTGTAAATGTTCATTAAAACTAATAACATTTAATAATAAAAAAAAGAGAGCACTTGTTCCTTCAGTATGTCCATACCTGATTGTTGGGCTTGGTTGATAAGCATTTTCCAAAATAAAGAGTTTCTGTAACACAAAGGCTATTGCACGCAGGCCCATCAATTACACCAGTTTTATACTTGTCACACTGAAAAACAAAAAATAAGTAGTTAATAAAAAATGTTCATAAGAAGAAATATCCTAAGAACATTGTAAAGATATAATGATAATCTTTAAGAAAAAATTGTATAATGAAAAGAGCTCATGCTTTGAATTTGGATAGATCTGTGTAGACAGGTGCTTTGCATAGATCAACCTCATTCCTATTGGGGTATACACAAATTTTGAAACCATTTTTGTCACTGTCTGAAGTTGTAGGGTAATTACTTACTCCAAGAATACAGACATCTTTGTCATTGTTGTTAGGCTCAGAGCAGGGGTCGACTGCTCTTAAGGACTTGTGTGAGCTGATACCTGTTACTTGTACATGGTGAACCTCTTCACTGAGATCTTGGCTCATTTTCACAGCCTCATGATCTGCTTCTTCTTCTGGTAATGGAGCTTTGCCTTCTAGTTCCTCTTTTTTTCCAGGTGGCTTTCACAGTGGAACATTTCCAGTCCAACTTGTGTACAAGGCAGCCTACATGAGCAAACTGAGTTGAGTTGCACAATCATGAGGGGAGTTGGGTCAAATATCCATGGTGGTTTTCTCCCCCCCCCCCCAATAGGTGGGATCACATAGAAAATCCTGAGGTCGTCCAGGGCAGCCTGGTCATACGCGGTCTTAGAGGGCAGCATGCCTTGTTCACTCCGCCTAAAAATGTGGCTAGGGTCTGAAAGTCGTTGGTATTTCTGCTGGACGGGTTCCTGTTCATCTGCTTGCAAAGGAAAGCCAAGTACTTCAACTTGTTTCTTGACACTAACTGTATCATTTAATATTGTCCCCACAGAATGTTTCAGTATTGCAATTCAAGACTAGAATTTGTTCTTCATTTCTATCAACTTGAGAAATGCTGAATGTATCCTTCCTTTTTGGTTTTCTAACTCCAGGTCTTTGCATGTTTTATTATAATTCTTTGCTTTGCCTTCTTGAGTTTTCCCATAAAATCTTCTGTTCTACTTTTATTTCATCATTTCACTTTGCTGTTGTTATTGTGAGGTGATGTTGAGTCGAGTATGACGCATAGCCCTGTGATAACAGATCTAAATCCTGTCCTATTCTGTGCCATCTTCATTTATCATCTTCTCTGACACACTTGAGCCCACTGCTTAAGTCACTGTGTCTCTCCATCTCATTGAGGGTATTCCCCTCTTTCACTGACCCTCTATCTTTCCAAGCATGTCCCTCTCCAAGGAATAACATCCCCTAGCAACTTGCCAAAAATATGTGAGACAAAGCTTTGCCATCCTTGCTTCTAAGGAGTATTCTGGTTGCATTTTTTGTGTGTTCTCTTCAGCAGCCCATGAAATATTAGGTACTCTTCTCCAACACCGCAATTTAAAGGCACCAACTCTTGTTCTGTCATTCTTAGTGATACTGTACAACTCTATTAGACATAGTAAATGACTGAAGAAAAGACTATGGCCTGAATCAAACTGACACCGCTGCGTCTCAGTATTTTGGAGAGGTCCCTAACCTTGCTCAATGCAATGCATTTCCTGATCTCTTGACTGCTGGAACCACGGGTATTGTCTGTGGATCCAAGTAAGATGAAATTGTTGGCAATTTTAATCTTTTCTCCATCTATCATGATGCTGTTTCTTGGTCTAGTGGTGGGGATTTTTGTCTTCTTGACAATGAGATGCAATACATATTAAAGGCTGTATTTGATGATCTTCTGCAGTAAGCACTTCAAGTCCTCTTCCTTTCAGTATGCACAGTTGTGTCAACTAAATAATGAAGAAATGTTCATGAGTCTTCCTCTGATTTTACGACCACATTCTTCTTCATAGAGTCCAGCCTCTCAAATGACTTGCTGAGCATACAGATTAAATAGGTATAGAGAAAGGATACAAGCTTGACACATACCTTTCCTTAAACCCTTGTTCTGTTAAAACAGCTTCTTGGTCTAGGTAGAAGTTTTGCATGAATATGATAACTGTTCTGAATGTTCTTATCAATATTAGCCATTGTTTGCTATGATCCACACAGTCAAATGCCTTTGCATAGTCAATAAACACAGACATTTTCCCTAGCATTCTCTGCTTTCAACAAGGATCTAACTGCCAATGGCAATGATATCCCTAGTGCCATGACCTCATCTAAAACCTGCTTGAACTTCTGATAGTTCTCTATTAATATACTATTTTTAGCTATTTTTTGGATGCTCTCCAGGAATATTTTGTTTGTAAATGATATTAATGATATTGTTTTATAATTTCAACATTCTGTTGGATCACCTTTCTTGGGATAAGGATCTCTTCCAGTCAGTTGGGCAAATAGCTGTCCTTCAAATTTCCTAGTATTGACTGGTGAGCGAGTCCAGGGCTGCATCTGTTAGTTGAAATATGTCAATTGGTATTCCATTGATTCCTGAGGCCTTCTTTTCTGCCAACGCCTTCAGTGCACCTTCAACTACTTCTTTCCTATCAGTAGCTCCTGTTCATATTGTATTTCATTAAATTCTTCATTGTTAGCCTATTCTTTTTGGTACAGTGACTGTGGATTCTTCTTTTGATGCTTCCTGGATCACTCAAGATGTATTTTGCTTATGGTATCTCTCAGTATTTAAATCCATGGCTTGAATTTGGTTTTCAGTTCCTTCAATTTTAGAAATGCCAAAGAATTCTTCTCTTTTTATTCTGCTACTCCAGCTCTTTGCACATTCTTTTCTAATATTTTGCTTTGTCTTCTAGAGCTGCTCTTTTAAATCGTCTGTTCATCTCCTTGACTTCATCTTTTATTTCCTTTGTTTGGCTTCTTGTCATTCCAGTACAATTTTCAGGGTCTTTTTCAACATCTATTTTGGTCTTTCTTCCTTTTCTTTGTAAGGACCTTTTGTTTTCTCATGGATGTTATCTTTGATGTTACTTCTTAACTCATCTGTTCTTCAATTATTAGGGTTCAATTCCTTAAACCTATTTTGGAGATGATTTTTAATTGAAATGGGATAGACTCAAGGTCATATTTTGGTTCTGTGGACCACTTTTAATTTTTTTCCGCTTCAATTTTAACTTGAAAATGAGTAATTGTTGGGTGTGTTTCAAAGTTAGCACCTGGCCTGGTTTTGACTGTTGACATTGAGCTTCTCCAATGCTTCTTTCCACAGATGAAGTCAATCTGATTTCTGTGACATGTAAGGTGAGGGCCATGTATACATCTTTTATATGTGTGTGTGTGTGTTTAAAAAAACTAGTAAGATATGATAAAGTCCACAATAAGAAGGGATTGGGGTGGGGCAGGGAAGCAGAGGGTGGTGAGGGGAGGAGAGCACTAGGATAATAGGGTTGGGTGAATGGACGGGGTAGGGTGAAGAAATTAGGAAAGAGTCAGTGGGGACCTGAAAAGATAGGGTAATAGTAGGCATAATTCAATGGTATTTAATTTTTTATAAAACACAATGATGAGAACAATTGTATGAAACACAACGTAAATAATGGAAAGTGTGAAAAACAATGTATTCTAATTTTGTATGCAAATAAATATAAAATACAAATTAAAAAAACCCCAAAACACAATGTATATGAGTGATCATTCAAAACATAATGTGAGTGTAGGAATGTGTGAAACACAATGAATGATACACAATGTATACAAATTTTGTATGTAAACAAATAGAAAATAAAGTGGAGAGGAAAAAAACGTATTTGCAATGAATAAATCATTGAACATACAAATTCAATCATTCATTACCCAGCCTCATTTCCATCACAAAGACTACTTTCCAACTCCCATTCCTTCCTCATTGTTTCATTTTTGCATTCCCGTCACCATTAATTATTAGTACATATATATTCTATGTCTGGTCAATTTTGGACTGCAAAAATTGGTAAAAATCCTCAATTTCTTCCTCTTTGACTTTAGTTACTGGTGTATATATTTGAACAACAGTTGTATTAACAAACCTTCCTTGTAAGCATACATACAGATAGTATCACTCACAACACTGTATTTCAGGATAGATCTTGAAATTGTCTTTTCACTAGAAATACATCACCATTCTTCCTTAGTTTTTAATTTCCAGCACAATAAATCACATGACTGATTTAAAATGGCTTGTGCCAGTCCATCTCAGTTCACTAAGGCCCAGAATGTAGATCTTTTTGCATTCCATTTCATTTTGATAACTTCCAGTTTTACTACATTCCTACTTTGTACATTCCGTGTTCCCGTAATTAAAGGGTTCTTAAAGTCATTTTGAACAACTTCCAATTTTAATTCTACTTCTAATACTATATTCTTCTATTGTTCATACAAGTTTTCAGAGACTTTTATTTCAGAAATGGATGGCCAATCCTGCTTCCTAGTTGTTTAATCTGGGAGCTTTGCTGAAACCTGTCCATTGTGGGTGACTCTTCTGGAATATGAACCACCAGGGATATAGCTTCCAGCATCACAGCAACCCATAAGTTACTTTAGTACAGCAAACTGACAGCCAAGTGCTGTACTAAGAGCAAACAATAAACAAACAAGCATATATTACCTAAGCTACAAAGTAATTAGCAACATGGATTACATTTTAACAACAAGAAAACAAAGATCTTCACCACCAGGTCAGTAGGTAGTAACATGATGGCTAGAGAAAGGATTGAAGTTGTTAATGATTTCATCTTGCTTGGATCCACAATCAACATTCTTGGTACCAGTAGTCAGGAAACCAAAAGACAAGTTGCATTAGGGAAGTCGCTGTCAAGGATCTCTCCAGAGTGCTAAAGAATAACAATGTCAGTCTATGGAACCCTGATTCACTGTTGGTGGGAGTGTAAAATGGTGCAACCCCTGTGGAAAGCAGTATGGCGCTTTCTCAAAAAGTTGCAAATAGAGATA